ATAACAAATGATGCTGGTAAAATTGTGTATCTATTCACAGAAAAACAAAACAAGACCCACACCTCACTCCATACACAAAAACAAACTCAAGTTGGATCAAAGAATTAAATGTAAAACCCCAAACTATAAAGCTCATCAAAGATAAAATAGGGACAAATCTAGGGGCCCTAATTTATGATGTAAATAGACTATCAGCATAACCCAGAATGCACAGAAGTTCGAAGAGAAGCTAGATGACTGGGACTTTTTAAAAAAGTCTTATGTGCATCTAAAGACTTCTCCAAAAGGGTAAAAAGAGAACCTACACATTTGGAAAAAAATATTTGTCTATGACGTAATTGACAAAAGACTTATCTCCAAAATTTATAGAAAACTTCAATACCTCAACACCAAAAAGACAAATAAGCCAATTCAAAAATGAGCAAGGAACTTAAATAGACACTTCACTAAAGATCATATGCTGACAGCCAACAAACACATGAGGAAATGCTCATGATCATTAGCCATTGTTGTTGTTGTTATGTGCCATCGAGACCCGACTCATAGCGGTTTCCGAGGCAGTATCACTACGGAAGTAGATTGCCCCATCTTCCTTCTGAGGAGTGCCTGGTGGGTTTGAACTGTCAGCGTTATGGTTAGCAGTCAAGTGCCTTAGCCATGCAAATCAAAACAACAATGAGATATCATCTCACTCTAGCAATAATAGCAAAGTTCAACAAGACAGAAAATAACAAAAGCTGGTGAGGTTGCAGAGAGATTGGAACTCTCATATACTGCTGATGGTACTACAAAATAGTACAACCATTATGCAAAATGGTATGGCATTACCTTAAAAAACTGAAAATAGAAATACCATTTGATCCAGCAATTCCTTTACTAGGACTATGTCCTAAAGAGGTGAAAGACAGTACACAGACATATTCACACCCATGTTCATCGCAACATAATTCACTATAGAAAAGACATGGAAACAACCTAAATGCCCAGATGAATGGATTACCAAACTATGGTACATTCACACAATGAAATACTATGCTACGTTAAAGAATAATGATAAATACATGAATCCTCTCACAACATGGATGAATTTGGAGGACATTATGCTGAGTGAAATAAGTCAATTGCAGAAGGACAAATATTGTATGAGCCCACTATTGTAAAAAGTCAAAGAAAGGTTTACTTAGGGAAGGAAATTTGCTTTGTAGGTTACTGGGGTTGGGAGTGAAGGGGAGGGAAAAATTCAGACTAGTTGGGGGTCACATGTTGATTTGAGTGAGGGGAGGGATTGTATGGAAAGAGTCTGTGACCAGCATGATTACATTGGGGAAAGGAAGGACACTAAAACATGCACATAAGATAAAGACAACAGAGGCAAATAATAGTGTATGCACAATATTGTATTACCACTAACACAAAACCAGGCTACAGATAAATGCATAGAAAAGTGAGGAGATCAGATGTGGGTCTGCAAACAGGAATACACCCTAGTCTAAGAGTAGATTTAGCTGAAGATAATCTTACATATGCACTTGTGCTACAAAACTAGCCACAAAAGCAACAGAAGGCAGAGTTGGAATAACCTCTCAAAGACAACCATATACCTTGAGAGAATCACTGGGCTTGTCTACCCAGGACCATAGTCTCTAGGGGCACCAAGCTCAATTGGCAAAACATAGTACATAAAAATCTTGTTCCACAACCTACTTTGGTGAGTAGCAATCTGGGGTCTTAAAAACTTTTGAGCAGCTATCTAAGATGCAACTCTTGGTCTCCTCTCATCTGAAGCAAAGAAGAGTGAAAAAAATCAAAGGCATCTGGAAACATTTAGTCCAAGGACATGATGGACCCCGAGACCAAAAGAATTAGATGGTGCCTGGCTACTAATGCCAACTACTTGGAAAGGGCTCAAACCTGGAGATCGTGGACAGAGTGGAAGGAAAAATGTGCAACAAAATACAGAAACACAAAAATGTCCAGAATTACTTGCGGATAGAGTCTGGTAGAACCACTGAGACTAGGGCCCTGGGTTACCCTTTGAGTCTAGAAATGGACTCACATCCATGGATTGGCTTACAGCTCAACAGTAGAAAGACCTACATGCAGAACACCTACCCCAGGGCAATGCGTCCACCTACTGTAAGGAGATGCAGCCCTTAGATCAATCAGCTATGAAACACCAAAGGGGCAGCATCCAGATAGATGAAAAACTGGACAGACAGGAATGCATAGTTAAGAAGGGCTCTGGGAGCAGGTAGTCACAGGAACAGGAGGGGAGGAGAGGTTCTTATGGTTGGGATGGTAATTGGGCTGTGAAATCAAATGGAGATTAACTATTAAATTTGCACCCAAAACACAATAAAGACTGAAGTTGTCAAAGATTTCATATTACTTGGATCCAAAATCAACACCCCTGGAAGCAGCAGTTAAGAGATCAGACATCATATTGCATTGGGCAAATCTGTTGTGAAAGATTTCTTTAAAGTGTAGAAGAGCAAGAATATCACTTTGAAGACTAAAGTGCATGTTACCCAAGGCATGGTATTTTCCATCACCTCACATGCATTTGAAAGCTAGGCAATGAATAAGGAAGACTGAAGAAGAGTTGATGCCTTTGAATTTTGTGGTGTTGGCAAAGAATATTGAAAATACCATGGCCTGCCAGAAGAATGAACAAATCTGTCCTGGAAAAAGTGTAGCCAGAATTCTCTGGAAGTGAGAATGGCCAGACTTCATCTCACCTACTTTGATCATGTTGTCAAATGGGACCAGTCCCTGGGGAAGGATATCATGCTTGGTGAAAAGTAGTGGATCAATGGAAAAGGGGAAGACCCTCAATGAGGTGGCTTTACACAGAGGCTGCAATGAAGGGATCAAGCATAGCAAGGATTGTGAGGATGTCAAAGGACCCAGGCAGTGTTTTGTTCTGTTGTACATAGGGTCACTCATGAGTTGGAGTAGACTTGATGGCATCTAACAAGAGTAAGCTCTGTTGTAGAACACCTCCATGAATAGATAAACCTTAGCATGTATCATTGCCTATAAGAATAAATATGTAAATCTTTTAACAGTTTCGATAGAAGGAGAAGAGAAAGATTACCTTTGGTTATTAACATCAACTCATCCTTAAGTCCTTGTTGAAACTGCACATGTTTAGGGAAATTTTCCCAACCACCATAGATTAGGGTAGGACTCATAGTACTTATGTTTCTTATTAGTAGTCCTCATCACATTTTCACATGTTTGTTTAATGTCTTTCTTCCCTATGAATATATATATATATATGTTGTTGTTGTTGTTGTTGTTATGTGCCGTCGAGTCGGCCCCAACTCATAGCGACCC